TCATATTTTTAACTAAGTAATAGTCTTCTAAGTTCTAAATGAATATTAATACCATAAAAGCAGAAGGCATGTATCAATTCGTCAAAGTGGGGAGAAATGTGGCTTAATTAAATCCTATCAAGTATGCATTTGCTTGATTCCGAGAACGAATATATAGTCACCAAGTTTCAGTTGAAAGTAAAGAAGGGGAAAAGATCATAAAGAGGATAAAATTTGATGAATAAAAATATAAAATAAATCAAATCATAAGCTCATATAGCACTTTCGTTTGCAAATATATTGTATTTTATCCATATAAATATTAATCAATCATAGTCTTCAAATAGTAACTAATTGCTTTAACGAGAGAAACAGCTAGCAAAAAGCAAAATGGCTGCGCCCACCACAGCAATTTTTAAGAAGATGGATGCATGCACTATGTCGTGGAATGATTAAAGTACGATAAAAGGTTAACCTTATTCCTCAATGTTATTCCTAATGCCATACAAACCCCTAAACTATAAAGTTATGCTTAAATTCATGACAATTTTTAACATCATGATCACTTAAAACATTTATCGTTTTATATTCAAATATTTAATTCAATAATTATTGTATATTAATATCTATTGGCTAAATCAACTCATACAAATCAACTTCTTCTTTACAAAAAGATGTCATGCAAAAACTTCATACATTCAAATATTCATTTTATAAAAAATTAATTATACCATATCTTCGTATTCTTATTTTTTTTGTAAAAAATAAAAAAATAGCCTTCAATGCGACATAAAAATATATAAAAATTTTCATTAAATTATGGCTTTTTATGTCTTAATTTTTGGTGGTAGTCAGTTGTTTCTAATTTAAACTATTTTTTACTTAATTTAATTATATTAAGATTAATATTTTTTTTTATTTTCCTTAAACTCTTTATTTAGCTCCCTTTTTAGTTATTCTTGCTATAATTTAATCTCTGTTACATCTATACCTAACTCTTCAAAGCTTAATTCTTTTGATTTTTTTAGACAATGCTAAGGGAATAAAGTTAGTAACCCCTAAAAATAGTCGACCATTATACAAAAGATATCATATTCTTTTGAAAGTCTTTATCTTGAAACGAATAAGATTAATAATTCATAACAAAAAAATTATATATTAAAATTATATTTTCAAATTTCAAGTGATATTGAACGAGTAAAGCTTAAGTCCCTTTATTAAATTTAAATTTAAATTTTAATACGAATGAAATAGAGTTTGTGAAAATAGATAAAAAATTATTATCCTTTGTTATATCATTCAATATTATTTAAATGAAAAGAAATATCTATTAAGATTACTTATGAGGAGAGTCGCTTTAAATCACTAAAAGCATAAGGCTGTGAGGCACGTTTTCCCAATTCTTATTCCGATTTGTGTGCATCTGGTTAAGACTTAACCCTTAAGAACCCAAAGCTACGTCGTTTTGATACAATCTTGTTTGTTTTTGGCTGACAGTTCATTCATTTTCTTCTTCCTTTCACTGACCTTTGTCAGAAGGCGTTGAAAAGCTAATATTTGCTGATGTAATAAATAAACTGATGTGGCCAGAAAAAAATAGTAAACAAACAAATAATGGTACTTGCAAACACATGAGAAGCAGATGGTATGATGGGTGCATACGGCTTATGGTAGCGAGAATCATGGGATTGTTAGTGAAGGGATCATCCCACTGAAATAATCCCCAAACAAAAGCGATGCTGTCTTTTTCGCTGAACTCAAAAAAAAAAAAAACAAATTATGTAAATAAATAATCCAAACATTTCTCATAAAAAAATGCAAAAGGAAGCAATGCGTTTTAGCTGGCACTATTGTCCTTCCTCGTCGCTGATCCCTTCGACGGTTCAAAAGGAGACAACAACAGATTACTCTCATAAAAAAAAGAAAAAATATAAAAAACCCTGATGACGTGGCGGAAAACAAGGGGATAAGGGAGGGTAAAGAACAAGACATGACCTGTGGTGTCTAAGGCTGGGCAATCAATTACCATTGGTTTGCCTACGTGTAATACGTTAGAAATAAACATGTGTCTTTGGCTTTCCGTATGTATTTTTCATAACAACCGTCGTTTTTGTCTTTGTCGTTGTGGTGGTGGGGATGTGGACGCGGTTGTCCCCATTTGCCCCCTTGTTTTCCACGTGCCTGTCTGAGCGAAAAAGAAAATCGACCGACAAGAAGGTGGTTTGGAAATTGAAAATTAATTTCGACCGTCAATTATATTTTGGAGGCTTTTTTCATGTAATTTTTGTGAACCACAATTTTTCACTTCAGGATTTGATTTTCACGAATTGTTTTCAAAGTTCAATAATTGTATTTGAATCTCGAAACTTCACATTTAGAATTATTTTTATGGAAAAAAATGGATAAAGCAAAAAGAAATTAAGTAACTCTTTACTCATAAATGATTAGTTTAATTATTTAAGATTTATTTTTTTATGAAAAAATTTTAAATTTAAATTTTATTAATGATCGTTTATTAAAATTATTTTAAATATATAATTTATAATTATTTATTTTAAATTATTTATAGCAATTGGGATTTAAAAATTCACTCGAAAATGGTTGGAGAAAAACAACTATAAATAATGATAGTAACGAATTATATCGAAATAAATTTTTGTTTGTCTTGCTTAATTTAATAAAATAAATATCTAATTATGACATAAAATATTATTTTTTATATTTAATCTGATCTATATATATATATATAAAATTGTAATGATTTGATGTGATTTAAAATTAATTTAATAAAATATTTTAAAAAATATTATTTTTAATATAAATTATATTTTAATTATACATAAATATAATATTTTTATTAAATTAATATCTTAAATTAAAACATTAAATAATAATTTTATTAATATAATACATATATATAATTAAATAAATAATAAAAATTATATATATATATATATATATATACTAAATCGAAATAGGTTTACTAAAACCCAACTTAAAATTCGATTTAAAAAATAATCTTATAAAATCGAAACTCAACAAGACCGGACTCATTTGCCATCCTTAACTACAAATGTTCATGACATTGACACCAGCTTGTGGTCTAATGGGTGTTTTTTTTTTTTTAATTTTATAAGGGGTAAATTTTCCCTCTTTATTGCAAAATAATGGACCGACCGAATCAATATTTTAACGATGAAAGATTTTGTATCTAAGCCTAAGTGTAGAAAAAAAGAAAAAAGAAAAAAAAGTTCCCATGCAATGAATGTGTACGTAATCACGTCACATAATATATTCAACGACCGTACAGAAAATCTTTTTACCCATACGGCCATATGTACACTTTCAAAATTACAATGATGCCCAAACGTCCGCTGCGTAGAGGATGCAAGTCGCACGTGTCTCCTGCGGAGCGAGGCTGATGCACGTGTTAGTAGAGTTAACTTTGCACATGTCAATTTTTTAAAAAAATTATTTTTAGTAATCTTCAAATAAATATTTTTTAGTATTTTTTTAAATTTTGTCTATTTAATTTTTAAATTTTAACCATCAATATTAACAAAAAAATTAAATTTTAACATAAATTAAAAAATCTAAAAAATTCATAAACTATACATTTAAGTTAGACATACAAATCCAAATTTGAAACCATGACCATTGCAAATATTTGAACTTTGTGAGTTGAGAATAATGAGGCTTTATTTGTAAATTTGTGTTTATATTGTCAGAAAATTTTTTAGAATATTTTTTAAAAATTTATTATTTAAAAATATTTTTCCTTAAATTTATTACATACACAAAACAGTTATTATAGTGGAATATAAGTTTAGACTTCTTCAAAGAAAACAACTTCCGTTCTACCCTTTATGTTTTCCTTTGAAACAAATTTTTTTTTTTAAAAACAAAGAAAGTCTTCCATATTTGAGGTTGGAAACTTAATAAAACAGTTAAATTTCGACATCAAAATTAATGTCTGCCACCGACCCCAAGGTCCCAAGTCAATCCAAAATTATTAACCAAAAATAATTCAGACAAAACATGAATGATTAAATTTTTTTTTTAAAAAATAAGCATTAAGTAATAGATACGATGTACGATAACAGAGATGGATATGAATATCTGCATCGTATCTTCTTCATTAAATACAACTCCCTTAATCAAATTTTTAATTAATTAATTAATCCCCTTTTAATCCCACCTTTAATTCATTAATTAATTTTAAAAGTCCGTTAATTTAGTTTCGAAAGGAAGGTCGATGGAAGCTCCGTCGAGAGGGGTGGGACGTTGGAGCGTGTTTCATTACGGGTTTCCTTTACCGGTTCCGTATAGGTAGGCAAAGCAAAGAAAGCATAAACAGACGGTTTTAGGGGTGTGGAGAAAGGGATGACCGACAGGTGGCGATTAACTACGAAAAGGCCATTAAAGGTGATGGAAGGTTTACAGGCTGGACCTGACAGGAAACTAGTAATTATTGAGCCTTCTATTCGGCGATCAATCTTGTCGTTTGTGCCAGCTCAGCATTTCCGTGCGGCCGTTGATTATTTTTTTCATGCAGCTACTTGGATTTAAAAGAAAAAAAAAATTGAAAAAGCAAAGAAAAATCCAGCACGAGAATGCTATACAGGCTGGCGTCCTCAGTCAAACCCAACCGTTATCATCAATATCTCTTCTGATATTGATTTTTAATTAATAATTTATTTATTTATTTTCATCGATAAATTATGGTATGCAGATTTCGCTTTTGTCTCTATAACTTCCAGAACATTGAATACGAAGCAACCGTATTTTACGCTCTTACGTTGGAGCACTCCGCCAAAACGCCGAGGAAGCTTCTTTGAAAATCCTCCTATGTTTTTTGAAATGATTAAAAAATGTATTATTTACTTTTATAAAAGAATAATAAAAAAAATTATATTTTTTTAACAGATTGTGAAAGAAAAGGACGCTCCAAATTAAATTTGAATTATGAATTTTGTGATGCTGCAAAGAGAAGCATGAGTACCTCCGCTCCACGCAATAATATTAGTTCCAAAAAATTTTCCCTTTACAAACACAGAGAGTGGGACAGACGCTCCCATGTTTGAGAGTCATAAAAAACTGATAAAGGAAGAAAGAAAATAGAAAATACTAGAGAGAGTGACTTATGTAAATCAGTGCAATTCAGAAGTGACGCGTGTCCGTTAGCCAGCTGTATCGCCAACCCCACTTTCTCCGACTGCTTAACTAGAACAATCGGTGCCCAAAACGATTCTCCTTGCTTTACCCTTCACCGTTTCAACCGGTTACTTCCCTCTCATCTCTTATATATTCCGCTTCTCTGTCTCGTTCGCCTTCGTCTCCCTTAAAACGCCAAAACCAAAGCCAAAGAAAAAAAAAAACAAAGGAAAACCCAAATATCACATACGAAGAACCAATTTTTCCTTTGCATGCTTTTAAATTTGATTTCATGGCTGTAATAAACACATCAAACGGAAAAGAAATGGATCGGATCAAAGGTCCATGGAGCCCCGAAGAAGATGACTTGCTCCAAAAACTGGTCCAAAAACATGGCCCCAGAAACTGGTCTTTGATCAGCAAATCAATCCCGGGTCGATCCGGGAAATCCTGTCGGCTCCGATGGTGCAACCAACTGTCACCCCAAGTTGAGCACCGGGCTTTCACTCCCGAAGAAGATGAGACCATCATGAGAGCTCATGCTCGGTTCGGTAACAAGTGGGCCACCATAGCCCGGCTCCTTAACGGTCGTACCGACAACGCCATTAAAAACCACTGGAACTCGACGCTAAAACGTAAGTGCTTGTCAGTTGGGGAAGAGTGTAATTTTATTACTAACGGGGGGTATGATGGTAATTTGGGAGGGGAGGAGCGACAACCGTTGAAAAGATCGGTAAGTGCTGGGCTTTACATGAGCCCAGGAAGCCCATCGGGATCCGATGGGAGCAACTCTAGCGTTCCCGTTTTATCATCTTCACAAGTTTATAAGCCCATCCCAAGGACCGGCGGAGTTAACGTTGACGTCAATGTTATGCCAGCTGGAGTCGAAGCAGCGGCATCGTCTTCTAACGATCCACCGACTTCACTGAGTCTGTCTTTACCGGGCGCCGAGTCATGCGAGGTGTCGACCCATCCAGCTACCGAGTCATCCCAGATGAGGAGCGAAGCTAAAATTGAAGAAAGGGGAGGTGGGGTGATGGCGTTCAGTAAGGAGTTTATGGCGGTGATGCAAGAGATGATAAGGGTGGAGGTGAGGAATTACATGGTGCAGATGCAGCAGCGAAACGGTGGCGTTTCAGGAAGAGGAGGGGGAATGGGAATGTGTTTGGATGGAGGGTTTAGGAATTTTATGGCTATGAACCGAGTTGGGTAAAAAAACTAAATGAGATGAAAAAGAGTGAAAAAACTGGGCTTTTGTTTTTTCCTAGTTAATGTACAGACTGAGAGGGCGATGGTTAAGAAGGAAAAAATCGGAAGGACAAAAAATGGAATTTTTTTTTTTTTAATTTACCTGTCTCGTGGCCTTGTTTTTAGGGAACAAAGAAAATGGAAAAAAAAAATGAGAAGCAAAAAAAGGGGACAAATCCTTCGAAAATTCAATCTAATCCCCAGATTATAAAAGTAAAACCTGTTTCTGAAATTTAGGAACTTCAAGTTTTTTGATTTGTTCTCTCTTTTGGATCAAAGCCTGAGATTTTTTTATAGATTTTGAAGGAGACGGGTATGGTTGTTTGATTTGAATAATGCTTGAAAAAAAATTTGAGAGAACTACATGCCAGAAAAGAAAAAAGGAAAAGTTAGAAGAAAATTATTTTTTTAAATGATAAATGACAAAGCTGGTAACTTATTGTTAAAATGTTGAAGGTCAACTAAAGTATCTCAGATTTATCCAATTTCCAAATGCAACAGTTGATGAAGATGAGCCCAGCCATGCATATAACTGAATTAACTGACCTGGTGAATGTAAGTTGACTCATTACTTCCCAGCTATTCAACTTGAAATCTCTTCTGTTCTTCGAGAACATGAGTCAAATTGCAATAACTGGAACCTGAAAAATAGAGAACGGATTATTCATTCTCAGTACTTCAAAACCATAAAGTTCAACTGTAGCAAGAACGAAGTCACTTCCATAAGAAGAAGCATTAACAGCTGCCCTAATCTTCCTTGATTCATCTTCAGAAATGCAAATGAAGAGATGAACTCTACAGAACCAATTGACGCTTTCAACATTTTACCTTTTCTAGTTCCTGACTATAACAAAGGAGAAATTGATTATATAACTCCAATGTCATGTTCTAAAATTCTTCAAAAAATAAAAAATTTGTTGAAACCGCAATAAAATTTTACAAAAATCAAAGATTTTTATAATCCAAAATTACTTCGAGTTATATAATCTCATAAATGAAATTTGAAAAACTCAACTTCAACGTAATAAATTAGCCTTAAAAAAATATGATTAAGCTTATGAAAAGATTAACCAAACATGTTAATAAATTTAAAATTTTTCAAAATCTTATTTTAAATAATTTAATTTTAAAAGATTGGGAGGAAACACAAATTTTTGAACTTGATAAAAAAAAAACTTCCTTGAAGAGATAAATAATCTCTTAAATATTTATGATTTTCTCATAAAAGAAAAAATCATTTTTTCTCTCTTTTAAAATTTCAAAAAATTCTTTTAGATGAAAAATCTAACAAAGTCTTACCTAATGAACTTTTTAATAGAATAAAAAATTCAATATGAGATCAAATAGATCTTTTACTTCATGAAAAATTTCATGAATATTTTCCTTTTATATATTTAAAAAATTAGGAAATTTCAAGAGAATTTTCTAAAATTAAATTTAAATTAGATCATGACCCTTATGATATAATCAATATTGAAATGGGTTTTGTAGGAATAATTACTTTTCAAAATTTATCATTTCATTTAATAAGGTATTTTTCATGTTTTTATTAAATAAAAAATATTTGATTTTGTTAAAAACGATAAATATTATTCTTATGTGCATATTAAAACAACTAGTTTAGTAAGACTGTTTTATATATGATTTTGTTAAAAACGATGAATATTTTTCTTATGTGCATATTAAAACAACTAGTTTAGTAAGAGTATTTTACGGGGAAAGATTTTTTCAACTTTATCAAATCTAGGAAGTCAAAAAAAGGCTTTATGAACCAAATTTATTAGCACCTAATGAAGATGAAGAAAATATAAAATTTACTCTTTCGCAATTTAATAGAATAAATTTATATAGTTTTCAAGCCGGAATCACCATGATAGAAAAAATAAAATAATTACTGAATGAAATCCCACCAAATTCATGGACTTCTTATATCACTGCTACCATAAATGGTAAACAGATTTTTGTGAAAAAATTTCATGATATAAATAATCTAGAGTCAGAACATGATGCAATCGAACTTCTAAAAAAATTATCTAGAATGGAAGATTTGGATTACCTTTTCTTTACTACTCCAGTATCAAGAAAGATGAGAACAGTAGAACAAGTCGAGAACAATTTCATTTACATCTTTTAATCTAGAAGATGAAGAGGTTATAAACCTTGATAATCAACAAGACAGATAAAAAAGACAACATGTTAAAAATCGTATACTAGTAAACATTTGCTGCTAAAAATATGATATGTATCTGTACAAAATAATTGTTATTATCTCTTTATTATTTTTTATCAAAGTTAGATACAAAATTATTAATTGGGACAATAAAAAAGGATACGAAAAAGAATAGACACACTCTTCCTTTCTCACTTCCTCTCTTCTTTTCTTACTTTCCTTTCACCCTTGTAAATTTTTATCCCTTCTCACTTTTATTATGTAAATGGTATTAGAGGCTTGTAAAGAAACTTGTATCGAATCTTGTATACCATAGACTGTACAAATCAATATTAAATATATATTTTCTATTTGAGATCTCTATATCCTAGCTATCATTGTAAGTAACTCTTTACTTTTACAGCTTTTAATTTTAAGTTTAATGTTCTAAAATCTATATGTTTGTTTACTATTTCTGCATTGATGTTGTGGCTTTGTTGTGACCTTTAAATTTAGCTTTAGAGATCTTTAAAAGATATACAGACACTCTTAGGTACCAAAAACATGGAGCAAAATTTTGAAAACTGCATTTGTTCAGAAAATCTTATAATTATAGTTTGCATGTGGATCCTCAATTAAAAAATTATATACCAATAATTAGCTCTAGTATTAATGGATTAGTAGATATCAACTACTTTCTTTAAAAAGTTGTTTAATAAAGTTGGCATATTATAATTAAAAAAATAGATAATTTAGGATGGGTGACTAGTTTAGCATTTTCTTGGTTTCAAGTCAAAAATCAGAATCATATATATGTTTATGATTTTTTATTAAAGGTATTTCTATAAATTCTTTATTTATAGTAAAAACAATATTATTATTACTCAAACAAAAAGGTAAATAATTGTATATGAAATTATTTCCTAATAACATATCACCATGCATAAAAGGAAAGCATAAAATTTTTGGAATTATGAATTTTTTATTAATAAATGAAAACATTTTTTACTTTGTATCCTACTAAAGGTTCTTTCCAATCGATTCTTATTACTGCAATAGGGTGTTTCATTGGCTCCCATTTTTCTAATGATAAAGCATTACTTCTACAACCACATATAATAGCTTCAGTGTTTATCAAAATATTTAAAGAATATAGTTTATACTTTTTAAATCTAAATTCTGCTTTAACATAATTATAATACATTTTTGGTTGATTTTTTGAAAACTTAATTACTTTATCATTACCAATTTTATATTGGTTGATTATAGCCAAACTTCAAATATAATCTCTTCTAGTATTTTTTTTAAAGAGAATGAGTTTAAAACTAAGTTTACTGAGTTGTAAACTTTCTTGATTTTGATTACTAGTATCTCTTGAAAAAATAAGAATATTTATATTTTTTACACCTATTGATTAAGGTTGAGAATGAAATGATTGCTTATGTGAAACAAATGATTGTTCATTAGCAATACTTTCTTTGCCTTCATTATCTCTATTTGAGAATGAAAGGATAGAAAAGGGTGATGATAGAACTAGATTGTTACTAGAACTACTTTTTTCATAATTTTTAAAATGCAAGCTATTTCCGATGCAAAAAATTCCATAAGTTTTATTTTTCTATTAGAAGGAACAAGTTTTGTAATACTTTCTAATAACAATCTAGTAGGTACTAACAGATCTCTAAAATTCATTAATCTTGGTTTGATTTCTGAATCAAAAGTCTAGGTTCAAATATTTCTATAATACTGAAATCTATTTCTTTAATAGATGTAAAAGTATAATTAGTAAATTCATTGATAGCTATCCAGTTTATAAACAGATCATGAGCTACATTTCTAATTTCTGATTGTTTTCTCATTGTTTTTAATCTAAGATATTCTTCTATTAATGAGTCATTAATAGAAATAAAATAATTTAGTTTTTCTTTAAATCAAACAACGCTTGATACAAGATTTGATTATATTCTTCCTATTAGTGCTTTAATAAGATTTTCAAATCTTTTATCTACTAATGCTGCTATTATTGATATATCATTAACAACTTTGAAGAAAGCTTTTATAGTTATCATAATTATTACTAAATGTATATATCTAATATCATGATATTTTTGTTTAATTCTTCTTATTTTTTCCTTGATAATTAAAGGAAAATCTACAGAAGAATCAATAGCTATGGTATTGCCATTAAATTTTTCTATGTGTCTTTTTATCCATGGTTTGAATTTTGGAAAAACAGAAAGTTTATAGATTTCATCTTTCTTTACTAATTGTAGTTTTTCTAACAATTGAAAGATAAAAAACAACTTCAAAGTTTTTTAGGTCTCTTTAATTATGAAAGACAATTCATTAAAAATATCTCTAAAAAAGAGAAAGTTTTACAAGAAAAACTAAAAAATGATATACCTTTTTCTTGGACAAAAGATGATTATGATATTATTAAACAAATAAAATTAGATCTTAAATTTATACCTAAAGCATATCTTTCAAAATCAAGAGAATTACTTATTCTTGAAACAAATGCTTCAGATCAACATTGGGGGTGTGTACTTAAATCAAAAGTATATAATCAAGAATTAATTTGTAGCTATAATTAAGGAAAATTTAAACCAAATGAATTAAAATATATTATATTTGAAAATGAGTTACTTGCTATAAAAAATGCAATAACAAGATTTCATATTTATTTAGTACATGAAAATTTTATTATTAAAACAGATAATCAAGCAATTAAAAATATTTTAAAAAATAAGAAATTAAAAACTAATCTTAAAAGAATTAGATTCTATAACTTTTTATGCCAATATAATTTTTCTATTGAATTCATTGAAGGATCTAACAATGTTCTTATTGATTTTTTAAGCAAGCCTAATAGATCGAGGTAAAAAACCTCTAGAATAAATTAATGAATGGACTGCAATAAAAAAAAAGCAACCAAAACAAGGTTCTAAAATTGAGATACCATTTGCATAATAAAAGTAAGAGATGATAGAAATTTATAGGGGTGAAAGGAAAATAAGAAAAAAAGAAAGAAAATAGAGGAGGAAAAGTCTGCCTATTCTTCTCCGTATCCCTTTTTATTGTCTCAATCAATAATTTTGTACCTAACTTTGACAAATAATAGTAAATAAATAATAACAATTATTTTGTATAAATACATATCGCATTTTTAGCAACAAGTGTTAATTGATATACAATTTTTGACTTTATTGTCTTCTTTATCCGTTTTGTTAATTATTAAAGTTTATAGCCTCTTCATCTTCTGGATTAAAAAAATGCTGATAAAGCTATTCTTGACTTGTTCTACTATTCTCATCATTCTTGATACTAGAGTAGTAAAGAAAAAAAGTAATCCAAATCTTCCATTCTAGATAGTTTTTCTAAAAGTTCGATCACTTTAGGCTTTGGCTCTATATTATTTTCATCATAAATTTTTTTACAAAAATCTTTTTACTATCAGTAGTAGCAATGATATAAGGAATCTATGAATTTAGTGGGATTTCATTCAGTAATTATTTTACTTTTTCTATCATGGTGATTACGGCTTAAAAACTATATAAACTTGCTCTATTAAATTGTAAAAGAGCAAATTTTATATTTTCTTCATCTTCATTAGGTGCTAATAAATCTCCTTTAGAAAAATCAAGTGGTTGAGAAAATGATGGTTTATCATCCTTGAGAGTAAGAATAGCATTACATAATATAAGGGTCCAAAGTTATTTGTTTGACTTTTATCAACTTCTAATAATTCTAATTTTTTATTAATATTTACTAATAATTGTTTAGAATATTCATTTAGATCTAAACTAGTCATTCGTCCTAAATTATCTATTTTTTATTTTAATATGTCAACTTTATTAAACAACTTTTTTAAAGAAAGTTGTTTAATGTAAAAAAAGGGAAGTTAGCAAAGAGTTAGCTGTGGATAAATCCTATAGTTGGTTTCTTTTCATCATATTTCGAAGAAAAAGTCTACTATTAAGATATAATAATAAAATTCAGGTTGAGGAAGATTATTCTATTGTCCTTTGATTATATTATGATTGACAGGAAAATTTTCAGAGAAAAACTGCAGTTTTTCTTTTTGGCTTTCATTTTTTATTTTGAATTTGTGTTTGAGACTTCCATCTTGATTAGCTGATAAGAACCTCAATGAAAGGGGTTTTTAATGAAAAGATGATAATGCCTATTGTTTTCCTCTTTTTGCGTGTTTTCAGCAAATAGATAACACAGTATCCTCTAGTGGAAGAAACCTCAATGACTGTAAGTGCCAAAAATAAAACCATGGCAGCTTTGCAGAACATAGAAACCCCAAGGATTGAAATTTTAGTCTGCTAAGTTACGAATGTACAGTAATAGATGAACCACACATACAAAGTCTAGGAGCAAAATAGAGAATTGAAATGGTTCAGAAAAGAAAATGGTGATGTTAACAATCTTGATGATAACTCCTTTTTCCACATTAATATTGAATCTATTATCACTGAGACAAATGAAATGTTGGTAAAAGACACATTACCTCGGCACTGTTGAGAGTAGCAATAAGACCTCTGCCAGGAAAATACTTAAAACTTTCAAAAGAAACAGAAGGAAGTTCTTTCCCTATGCTATGGTCTACAACAGCCCTGCAATAAAGGAATGATAAATATTTTGACAAGAAATATAAGGACAATAATTTATATAAGAAATATGATAATCATTAAATGGCAATGCCAAGTTGAGTAGAAATTACTTATCATCCTCGGTAACTGATAAGAGGGCCATAGTCACAGAATGAGTTACACGGAACACAAGTACTCGATGTAGAAAGGATAGACAATTCCATTTTATACAATTTCCTTCCAATAGGATGAGTAGTACCATTCTGCATGCAGCTGCCACTGCAAGTGCTTCTACTTCACAGCTGGGAATGCAACAGGATGTCCATAAATTGGCTCAATTGCTATAAACATAAGCCCTCCAGTTGTCAATGTCCCTGTTTTATCAAATGCAACAGTGTGACAGGAAGCTAGAGCATAAAGTATTTGCCCACCTTTGAGCAATATTCCCTATAAAGAGAGGCAGTAAGACTTAGAGGAGGTCAGGTGTATCTCATGATTTATTTTAAAATCAAAATAGAGCTTTAATAGTTAAACAATTAGATAAATCTAGACTTCTACGAGCATCACCAAGTAGACAGACTTGTTTCAGTGATCTCTGAGCTATAACTACAGTCCAGGAAAAGAAAACAACCAGTTAGCTCTAACAAAAACTTGTTCAAGTGAAAAATAATCAAGGAACATATACACAACAATAAAAATTTTATCAAGCTACCAGGAAAGATGATTCTACTAACAGCACAATAGCTAAAGCATTTGTTCAGAACAGAAAACCTATATAAGCTGATTCTACCAAAGTAGAGAAAAATAACAACAGTTAGGTTCTCAGTCTAAGTTATCAGAAGAGTCGTAATTATAACAAATTTGCAATGTGGTGAGTTTCATTATTATTTTCATAAATAAAAATAAATACGTTCACAAAAAAGGCTTGTATACACTTGAGTAAGACCATGCTGACACAGTGACAGAATGCTTGTCTGAACTCTGAACACTCCTTGATTACATGTGACTAATACCTTTCTTGCACAGGAACTAACTGCAGTAGCATAAGCCAGAGGAGCTACTGCCAAGGCACATTGGGATGCTGCCACCATAAGGCCCAATGCTCTATAGATTGATCCTCTGCAAACTGCATAATCAACACCAAGTATCAAACAGATAGAAGGTAACTCAAAACAGAATATAGACAAGGACCATATCAAAGAAATGTCAGGAAGAAGAGCAAGAGAAGTAAAGCTTCAAACTAACAAGACTGAACTGTTTCAGTGAGAGTTGATGTAAAATGGGGTTATCATCAGTTATGCTTACTAAAACTAAGACATGTTAGAAAAGAGGCCTTCTTGGAAGATAAAGAGGTGTATACCATGGCTAACAAGATTACTGGCACAAGGCAATAGAAACAAAACAACAACAAACGTGATAATTGCAAAGCAGCTTGCACTAAGAGTTACCTGCAGTGCTAATGAATGGCCACTTTAAAGAAAAGGCCCGAGGACTGCGATGGTAACTGACAAAACTATAACCAATTTGCTGTAAAGCTCACCAAATTCATCCAACCACCTTTGAAGCTTGGGTTTATTTAATTGTACTTCTTCAGTTAACTGCACAATCCTGCTGAGCATTGATTCTTTCCATGTCTTTGTAACCGAATAAGAAATTATCATGGACAAAGACCAAAGCATAAGAGAAGGATGTGAACTAGCAATGACAAACAAAAAATGATTCACCAGAAGGAAATCTATTTACTAACTTTTGAAATGAACAATTTCGGAACAGAAAAGAAGAATGTGAGTAAAACTTTTCTACATTTACCCTTCTGAAGATTCAAATGTTGATAAATTCATAAACACATCTTAACAATCATTCTACCGTCCAGATTACTTGCACCACCAGGGATCCTATTTTCAACTTTTGCCTCTAATGGTTTGATTTCACCGGTCAAATGCTCAATAGTAATCATTGCACTACCTTGAAACACTTCACTATCTACAGGAACAGTCTAGAAAATACCAGCCCATAAGCATTAAACTTCCATATTATAACATAATTAAGAAAATGTTAACAATATGAACCCAGTATAGTATCCAGAATCATATTCACAGATCTCACCAGTGCCGACCAAAATATAGAAGCCAACTTCCACATCATTCACTGGAACTCTTCTGTATGACAAATCAGAAACATCTGGCAAATTATCATCAGTCAAATTTAATACAAGAGCAGAATCCAGATAATTTTCTGTCAACTCCTTCCCATCCGCCATCAAACGGCTAGTAAAAAATTCTTCAGCTGCAAGAAACCAACTTTCAAGATCACAACAAAGAACATAAAAATATGTCTCTAAAACAAATTTCACCAGCGCGAAAGCTTACCAATGTGAGCCAAATTGAACATTGCGAGAAGCAATCCTCTTTCCAAGGGATTCCCCATGAAAACAGAGGCAAAGGCGGCGAATGCCACAAGTACATGAATATTCACTTTTCCACCAGAAATATCAGTAATGGCGTCAAGTGCCGCTGAAACCTGACGCATACAAAGAAAAAACAATACAATTAAACTAGATTTAAACAAAAAAATCAAAGCTTTACAAGGTTGTTGCTTTTACTACTTAATTTTTGTTTCGTGAAGAATTGCTATTTGCTACAATAAAAATGAGTAAATAGTAAACTTAGATATCCAATAAAATATTATTAGTATTTCATAAAAACGTTAAACGTTTTAATAATTTGAAAATTGTTACTTTTGGTGCAAAATTAACAACCAATGGGAACTTGAACAGAAATGGAGGGTACCCCAACCAGAGGGAAAGCGACGAAAAGGAAGGAATTTTTGGAGAGGCTTGACGGCTGGTTTTGGGAGGACGTAAGGGCAAGCAGCGTCAGCAATGAACAGTGCGGTGGCGCAGTAGCAGAGCTGAAAGGTTCTCCCTCAAGTAATTTGTCAAGTCCATCCATCCGATGGCCTTAGCGAACCCGATCACTGCTCTCCGGTGCCATTCAACTTATCGTGATGATGGTGGTGGTGGTGATTAGCGACGCACCGGATTTGGAGATTGGGTGGATTGAAAAGCAGGAGGCATTTATGAAGGATGATGACGGGAGAGAAAAAGAGAGGTTTAAATTTGAAAGAGTTGACGCGTCCGAGTGGTCGTCTGCGTATGGGGCGACTCAGAGGTGAGATTTTGGCAAGTGAAATGGAGTGAGTTTCCGTTTGCAGGGTTCAATGAAATCCAGGCCATGAATTTTTGTGGGTCGGGGCAATGTATAGACATTGGAGTAACGCCAAAGAAATAATGGAGAAGTTACAAGAGCCGCAGCATAAGCTCATATTTTACCACATGGTTTGGAAAGTGGTAGCGATGGGAATGGTCCGGTCACTGGCCTTCGCCTGTCTCATCTTTGCAAATTTGAAACATTACCAACACCTCTTCTTAATAATATATTTAGATTGGGTTTTGGATAGATTAGGAAATGGTTTTGGGTCATGAACTCAATATTTCAAGTCCGGCCCATCTCAAATAATCAAATTCAATATCTATTATTGTTACTTTTAACGTTTTTGTATTTTCTTAACCGACAAAAAAATTTTGGATTTTGGTATTTTTCTTTTCTTAATTAAAAGTTTTATTCCTCCAATCTTTTAATGAATTCAAACCACAAAAAACTTGTGTATATTAAACAAGTTTCCAAAAAACACTAGGCTTGAAAATCTTTTAATCAATTATCCATCAACAATAACGCACAAATTTTCCCTCCAATACACTATTAACTTGCATCGATATATTAACCCTTGCAAAGTCGACATCATTCGAGGCATTAACAAATACCAGAATCCACGTCCAATCATTCACCATCGCCTACATGATTAAGCAAATATAGGTAACAATTAACATTGAAGGAATTAAGATCTAGTAGTTTCTGAGGCTTTCAGAATGTTAGAATCTTAATCACACCAGAAGATGAACGTATCAGAACGGAATTTTGTTACACCTATAACATTCACTAACCCAAAAAAAAAAAAAGGCTACGGCGACTTCCCTTTGTCATTGTACAAAATACATCCGACTAGTGTCACCTTTCCTGGAAAGGGAAAAAAAAAAGGTGTAAAACAAAGAATAGCAATACAACAATTTTATGCTTGTCCATATCAAAGCAAAGGACAGCATTCCAGCCAATCATCGAGTTCTGCCACTAAAATTTTGATAAAGGAGATGGAAGAAAAGTTCTCGATTGCTGTCTAGTCATCTTTCCCTTTCCCTTTACCTTCTGAACCTCTAGATCCATCGTATGCAGATAGAAAATAGGTGCTCTGGTTCTTCTGCAGAAACCTGCATTTTATATAAGAAATATTTTTAAATTTTAAAATATAATGAATTTAAGGGGAAATTTGAATCAATTCCATAGAGAACTAAAACAGCAGAAATTCAATGTCAGCGGTTGCTCATGGCAGTGTATGTGTGCCAATGTTATGTGTTTTATAAACAAATTAGGTTAGATTGTATATACACACCAATGAAAAGAAACTCTTGAAAGATGTAGTCGGAGAACATGCATATGTTAACAAAAAAAAAAAAAGGCAGAGAGTATATTATACTCATCCATAACAACAAAAGTGTCAGAGTAAAGCAGAAATGATTTGGATAGAAGAGGCACAATAGTTTACAAGAGGATGCAAAATAGATAAGAAACAATTATAATTATATGTTCTAAATAGAAGCTATGGTTAGAGTGATAATAATGATGCAAATGTTTATCTCCTTCACTGAATTTAAATCAGAGTTTAAAAAATTGAATGCTCTCTAAATAGCATAAGATAAAATCAATGAGGAGAGTTGATACTTGAGAAAATCCATTAACTTCTGTTGCAAGCTGGTTAATGTTTCCTCTTCAATATTCACATATGCCAATAGCTCAGGAAACTTGACTGCAAAGACAAGAACACATTATTAGTATTGCAGGACTTCTAAGATTTGCAAAGTATCAATATCATGGATGATTATTAAAATTAAGATACACAAACACATTGACACATGTCCCAAGGTGATGTCACCAAAACAAGCCCACGGGACTTGATTGTATCCACAAATAGATATAACAACTGATATGCCGTGCAACCAACAATGATGAATCCTAATTCCATGAACAATTTCGTTAGGCAATTGTGTCACCCATGGGTTAAACCTGGATTTTAGGGTAGGCTTCTAGAGATCAATAAAATGCTTTATACATAAATAAGAACAAAGCTAAAAGAAATGCCTGCAGTGACAATTTAGGCAAAACATAATCTTCAAAACTGCATCAAAGACGAAAGTATATTGATGCATTCAAAAGTGTAAGTCTGACAGATGGCCATACCAAAGAGGCGTAGTAAATGCTCAGCACCATATATGGTTGATGGAGAGACATCATCGAGGACTACTTCATGGTATTGTTGGCGCTCTTTTTTATAAAGAAGCATCACAGGCAAAGCTTTGTCGAAGTAACAGCGAATTCCCTTCAAGATTTCTCCAATTGAATCAGTCATTCTGTAGCCAAGAAAAAAGTCTATGTCACCAACTCTAGGAACAAATTAATTATTGTCAAAGTTGGAAACTAATTATTCAAAAGCAAGTTACAGCATAATTTATCATGATTGTTTCAGGAACGTGTGAATGGCTTAAAAATATACTTACATGCCATCCTTCTTGGACCTGTTTTCAAGGTACTTTGTCAAAATATCATCAACATTTGGTGATCGAGGAAGTTTAACAAGCTGCAGAAAAAATGGATTATTACCGCCAAATCAGTTTATTAGTGTACCAGCCATAAGTATCATTAAATGGTACCCTAACTATATTCAATAAAAAAGCATGAGACAATATAATCAAAATGATTGAATTGCATGAGTTTTGTTGAGTTTTAAGTTGTACACAAGATCAAGGCTTCAGAAATTTCATGTAAAGGCTACAAAAACCTTATTGCAATAACTGACAAATAAATGACAACATTATTATCAATGCAATTATTACTTCTATAGTTACTCTCATTCAAGTTAAATCATCAAGCAAAAAATAGTATAATAAGAGAAAAGTTAATCCAAAAGTTATTCAAACAGTTCATGCACCTTATCCTGTTGAGTAACAAATTCCCAATCATCAACCAGCTGCTTCTTTAGGGTTGATGGAATTTGGATCTTGACAAGCTTTTCCATGGATGAGTTGTCCTTCTAACAATTATTAAAACACATTTTGAAAAACAAAAAGAGAGGGTAAGAACCGATGGATATAAACTAGAAATAAGAAAAAAAAAAAAAAGAACAAATGATTTCTTAAACAGCTGTAATTAATCATATAAAAACCAGACCTCAACACCTGAGTCGCTTTTTCTCTTCTTCCCTTTTGCAGCTGCAATAAGTATAAAAAATTAACTTCCAATAGAAAGGTTAATGTCTTAGCAAGCAGTCACAATATTACTTAAGAAAAGGTTGACAATATGCAAAATAATTGAACTAATGGAATGCCAAAGCAGACCATCAGGAATCAATGGTTGACTCCATTTATGTATTGCATATGAATGCAAAATAATGAGTATAGTGAATGAGGCCATTAACAAAACTGCAATAGCCAAAGAGGATTCTTTTTCTTTTTTCTCCTTTTGGCAGAACTCTGGCTAGTTAAAATTGATTCTAATATGTTAACAAGGAAATATCAATAAACAAATGCTATTAAAAACACATAATTCAATCTCCATAGAATGCCAATACAACTCTTAACTTTAGACAACATTGAACTAAATGCCGCATTTAACTTAAGATTTGCTGAAGGTTCAATACAACCTCTGCACAACTTCATTAACTGAAAGCTAAAATCAAACTTAATTCAGGAGCTAAAAATCACTCAAGAATATTAGAATCAAGAAAAGTGTTTGATAGGACCCCCTTACAATAGGATAGGAATATACTGATGATAAAGAATAGTTATTCCACAAATGAAAGAAAATCAATTATAAAGACGGAAGAATACGAAAAGAAAATAAAAGTAAAATAAGCTTACCAGTGTTCTTCAGCTCCTCTTTATCCGCTTTTGCATCTAGAAAAATAAAAGCAGATCATTAGATAGGATTAATTAGGGAATGAAGACAAACAATAATAACAACTATAAATTAGATCAAAACTTGCCACTTGCTAGAAGTTAAGGCACTGGAAAAATTAAAAGGTCTTATCTATTGGGGAACAACAATAGAATCTAGATGAAAATCATGGCAGCACCCATACACTTATGAAGGGGGAATGCTTCCACTTACCCCAAATAAAAAAAATAAAAAAAAAGGATCTCTAATGGGCAACCATACTTATATGAACCAAATAAATGCACACAGAATATGACCAAAAGTATTTAGGATATTAATAAACAAGCCAATAAGTCGAAAGAGTTAAACTAACCAGTAGAGCTTTTTGGCTTGGTCTGACTTGAACGTCCTGACTTTGAACTTTTGTCAACACCCTGTTTTTTGTCTAGGGCTTGCTGCTTCATGACATTCTCTTCAGTATGTTTCATCAGCCGATCAGCACCTACCCATTCGTCCCAACTGTTGGCAAGATGTCCAAGCCATAGTAATGATTTCTGTTTCCCTTTTTGGGAAAGGGGATTTATAAATCAATGAAAGCAAACATTTACTGGTAATATATAAAGTTCTGCATTACCTTTCAGGATTTCATAATAACATAACCCACAAAATAATGAAAGAACAAAAAATATGCAAAGTTTAAATAAAATAAAACACTATTTCTCTTGATTTAAGGGAAAATGAGGATAATAAGTGATTAAATAAATATTTTAGCTCAAATATACGACAGGATCCTAAATTTAATTTGATGAATGCCTATTGCCTACCTTGACTTGAAAGAATAATTCAGCTTAAAATTTATATACATTATAAAAAGGAATGTTCTAGACTTCTAGTGTTTAAAGGGACAAGTTTTCAGAGGAGTAACTTTACAATAAATTTTACATGGACACCGTTCAAGTTAAAAATCTAAGATGCAGATCAACAATCAGAAAATTCACGTGATAAACCAAATGAAATGCAAAAATAAGGCAGTAACTTAGATTCAGCTGAGAGCATATTACTGAAGACATACTCACTTTTTATTCCAACCCTGCAAAACAGCAAAACAGATATCTCTTAATACGATAAACAAGTAATGTTCAGGTTATCCTACATAATTAACATCGCAACTAGATTAAGCATCATATAGACATTCATATATATATATATATGCACGTGTGTGTGTGTCTGTATATATATGTACGTATATATCGAAAATTAAGGTAAAGTTAAGGCAAGTAGACTTACAAGGTAATGAACAAAGTATTTCCATTCTTTAATCCGAAGCTCTGCCTTTTGAACCTGAAATGTAAAATCAAAATTCATCAACTGCATAAACCCTAATTTCACCAATCAATCCCTAAATGCTCTAAATTGTGGACTACAGTGACCTAAAGAAACCACTCAATTTACTTTTGGTGTAGGATTACTTGAATCAGCAACCAAAAAGGGGCATAAATATCATATTTAAAAAAAAAATAATTTCAAGCGAATCGATAAACATGAAAATTTGAAAGCTAAACGACGGAATTATTCAGTTTAAAGCACCGGCGAAGTCCAACAATGAGCCAAACAAAGAAGGAAATGAAATAAGGTAAAATGTGCAAAGAGGAAAAAATTTAGAGAGAGAGAGAGAGAGAGAGACTATGCCTTGGCTTCGTAGATACGAGGGCCGTGATAGGCGAGGACACGTTCGCCCTCAGAGAAGTGGTTGGAATTGGAGGGAGGGGTGTCTTCGCTCGATGTATCGGCGTCGGTTGCCGTCTCCTCCTTCGACGAGCTTCCCATTTTTTTTTCTGATTTATTTTTCCGATTTTCCCGGCTGACAGAAAGAACGGGGAAAGAGCTGATCTGTTTCTGACTGAAGCACTGCTTTTCACTTTTTAGTATTTACTGCTATTTTGGACCTTACCGACCTGCATTTTACTGATTTACTGCTACCACTTTCGTTTTTTACACCCAAAGTTTTAGTTTGAAAAGCAAAAAATCTTTTCAGTTTTACCCCAAGTTTGAAAGTACGTGCGATAGAACTTTTGTTTATTTTGTCAAAATTAGAAGTATCAATTAAAATTTAATTTATTTAATATTTATTATAATAAAATTTTTTGGCTTAAAATAATTATGATTCAAATTCATGGTTCTTTTTTACTAAAAATTGAATTAAAATCCTACTTTTTAATAAATTATAAAAATTATCATGGTCTACTTAATAAAAGCCAATGGTTAAATCTCTTAATATTTTTCTAAACTTTTTATATATTAAAATACGAATATGATAATTTTTAATAAATTAAAAAATAGTTTTTGAACAAGTCTTAAGCCCTTAAATTTCTTTCCTTTTAAAATAGATCAATGAATTATGCTAGAAATATATAATGGATGTGATCAAACCTTACCAAATCATTAACAAATATATATATAATTGAAATTAAAATTGACTTCAATACTGACAAAAGTTCAATATCGTTTAATCAGAGTACACATATGAGATGCTGCTGTCATGTGTTTCTCTGTGACAATTTTTTGGATTCCAAATGGTGACCTGCGTAAGAAAAGTAGAGAGAATTGTATTTTATTTTCATAAATTGAAGTTATGAAATTAATGAATTTATTTTATATATATATATATATATATATAGAAGTGAGGGTATGATCTTCCATTAATACATTGGTCAAAATTGATGTATATGAATCCAAATATATAATTAAATCAAATTATACTTAACAAAAATTATATTAAATATTTAGATATATCATAATGTATTATTATTATAATTACTCATAATTCGGCATTAATTTATCTAAATTTATATTAATTAATTGTATTAATTCATAATATGAGACAATTGCAACATCAGAATCACCGATCCCGACCTTCTAATCCTGGAGGAAGAAATTCCTAGGTTTTCTTTTGTTTCCTTTTTCACAAGATTCCTCACATTAAGTGGCTTTTTCTCTGATATATATATATATATGTATGTATGTATGTATATCTTAACCTTGGTCGAAAGACACAATTGCTTAGCGATGTAGGGTTGGCGTAACTTGGTAAAATATTGAATCATTCATTGCAATTACGGGGAGTTTTAATCTTCAATAATCTTCAAATAAAAAAATTGATATTTACAACTTAAAACTTACTACTTTCAAATTTAATATTTCTATATTAATATAAGAATTCATATAAATGGATGGTAATATTAGCTCTGATAAGAATTAAAATCACAGTGGAAGTGAAATTGGTTATTATAGTTAAAGTGTATATTATATCTAGTTGACTTATAAGGTTAAGCTTTATTTTTAGATATATTTTTTAAGCTTTAAACTCATTTATACATTTGTATATATGTGTATTTTACAACCCTAGATTAAAATTATTTTTCACTATTCAAGTCATCATCATATCAGAGCTTTCGGTGATTGCTATTTCTTTTTGTTTCAGGTCACTTTGATTTGCTATTATTTGATCTTTTTTTTTTTATTTTGTCATTTTGTGAACTTGGGTAGAATTAGTTTTTATGCCATTGATTACAGCTTGGGTTTTGTGAAATTAGAATTGCCTTGATCTTTTCCTACTTTTATTCATTGGCTTGTTATGGGTGATTAGTGTATTGGCTTTGAATTGTTTTTCTCTTATGGCTTTCTTGGAATGTTACTACTGTCACAAGTTGGGACATACAATGCATAATTACCTAGAATTGAAAAAAAATTTGGCTTGTGTTAAATGGAGCGAGTTGTTGCTACAACGTCATTTATAAAAACTTTTAAAGTTAACTTTCACTCCACTATAGATCAAATTTAAGAGATTATTCAACAGATTATTTCTAGTATGAGTAATAACTCTATGGGTAATAATTTTTCTACATTTGCATTGTCAACTATTCTAGGTACTAATTCTAAGGATTTGATCATTGATTATGGAGCTTTTAATCATATGTCTTTTGATAATTTTATCTTTGACTCTTCAAATCCTATTACTTGTTCACCTTCTATTCATACTACTAATGGTTCAAATGTGTTTGCTACTCGTGTTGGCTCTATCTCATGTTCTCAAAATGTTTCTTTTGATAATGTTCTTTTGGTTCCATCACTTTCCATGAATTTGTTATCTGTTGGTCAATTATGTGATCAAGGTCTTAATATCATTTTTTGCTCTAGTGATTGTGTGGTGTAGGATTGCTTAATAAGAAAAGTAGTTAGGACAGGCTGTAAAATTGAAAGATTATTTATTTGGAAAATTTACATGTGTCACATCATCCTTGTGATCAATTTGATCATCCTTTTGTGCGAAAATCCTTATTAGTTTATGGTGTTCAAAAGCTTTCAATTTTTTTCCTCTGGCATCGTATGTTAAGACATGTTTCTTGTTTTAAACTTCAATATTTGGTATCTAGTGGCAAGTTAGGTTATGTTAAGTAAAAAACGTCCAATAATTATATCAGTTGTAAACTAGCAAAATAATAAGCTTTACCTTTCAATAAAAGTGAATCAATTTTTTTTTATATTTTTTTGATCTTATTCATTCTAATATGTAGAGCCCATCTTGTTTACCTACTATGGGGGTTCTTGTTATTATGTTATTTTTATTGATGATTATTCGAGATATAATTGAATTTATTTGTTTCAACATTGTTCAGATTTATTTAAAATTTATCAAAATTTTTTTGCCATAATCAAAACTCAATTTTCTAAAACTATTAAACATTTTTGTGCTAATTCTACTGGGGAATATCAATCAAGTAATTTAAAAGAGTTTCTTGCTTCTTAAGGTATTCTTTTTGAATCATCTTGTATTGATACACTTCGGTAGAATGGTGTTGCTGAAAGAAAGTATCATCATATCATGGAAACCACAAAAGCCTTGTTGTTATCTTCATTAGTTCTTAAGAAATTTTGGGGAAAAGCTGCACTTATCTTAAGAACTTTTGGGGAGAAGCTGCATTTACTTCAGTTTATGTTATCAATCGTATTCCTTCTTCTATTATTGGAGAAATTTCTCTTCTTGAATGTTTGTATAAAAATGTTCCTAATTATTCTAAGCTTCGTATTTTTGGTTTTACATGTTTTGTTTCACTTCCTAAAGTTCAGTGTGATAAATTATCTCCAAAAACTACCATCTGTGTGTTTTTAGGGTATAGTATTGGACAAAAAAAATATTGTTACTATGATCCTATTGCACAAAAACTTCGTGTTTCTCAGTATGTTACTTTTTGAAAAAAATTTTTGATATATTCATTGCCTCATTTTAAAAAAATCTACCAATGATCCTTATAAATCTTTTGTCTTTTTTGATCCTTTTATTGATTTAAATGACTCTAATCAATCTTTTCATGTGTCTCAAAGTTCTCTAACTCAACAAATTCATCCAAATGAAGTTTGTCCCATTATTGATTCTATCATAAGCAATCATGCACCACCATTGTCAAATTCTTCAGAATTGTCTGTCCCATAACTTAAACGTTCAACACGTAAGCTAATTCCTTCAAAATGTTATAATGATTTTCATTGTTTCTTACCTACCATTTTTTTTTTTTTTTATAAACCTAAATCGTTATGAAGTAAGTTCTAATCTTTTTTGACAAACAGCTATGAAAGAAAAATTAGATGCGTTAGAGAAAACTTATATAGAAAATCTGTAATGGATTGTAAATGGGTGTACAATGTAAAGATTAAATCAGATGGGTCTATCAAAAAATATAAAGCTAGGTTGGTTACAAAAAGATTTACACAAGAGTATGGTATTGACTATGAAGACACCTTTGCTCTTGTAGCTCAAATGACTTTTGTTCGAACACTTATAGCTATTGCTTCTATTTGATGATGGGCTTTTATAAAAAATGGATGTAAAAAAAATGCTTTCTTAAATGGAGATCTTCGTGAAGAAGTTTATGTGAAACCTCTTCCTAGATTGTCTTTCCAAACTAATCAAGTGTGTAAACTTTGACAAGCTTTATATGGCCTTAAACAAGCACCTCGTACTTGGTTTGAAAAATGCAACACTACTATGCTTGACTTTGAATTTGTGCAAAGTCCTTATGATTCGACATTATTTATTCATCGATCTGAAAGAGGTATTGTATTTTTGCTTCTCTATGTTGATGATATGATGATAATTGGAGATAATAAGCTTAGTATTTAGAATATAAAAAAGTTATCTTAGCAAAACCTTTAAAATGAAGGATCTTGGACCATAACAATATTTTTTGAGAATTGAAGTTGATTGTTCATCTTATGGATATGTCTTGTCTTAAGTGAAATATGCTTTTGATCTTATTTCTAAAGATGGCTTATCTGATAATAAAACTGTTGACACTCTTCTTAAAACTAATGTTAAATGAAAGCTATTGATGAAGAACTTCTCAATGATGCTACTTTGTATAGATAGTTGGTTGGTAGTTTTATATGTTTGACAGTTACAAGACCTGATATTAGTCATGCAATTCAAGTTGTAAGCCAATTTATAATAGCACCTCGAATAATTCATTTTGTTGCAGTTTTTAAGATATCGAGATATTTGAGAGGAATGCTACATAAAAATTTACTGTTCTTATCAACTTTTAAACTTAAATTTTGTGTTTTTTCTAATTTTGATTGGGCTGGTGATGTTAATGAATGACATTCTACAACTAGTTATTATGCTTTTTAGAATGATTTTTTGATATCTTGAAAAAGCAAAAAATAAAAAGTTATGACACGTTAAAGTGTTGAAGCAGAGTATAGAGCCTTATCAGACACTACAGCAGAAATTATGTGGTTGATGTCGATGATAATTTTATTTTTTATAGAATTATCAAGGGATTTTATGTTAAATTATAATACTTCTATACTTGATTTTTGCTTGAATTAATCCATTTTCCACCTAAATGTCTTAATTGTCCTAAATGTATGTAAAATAAAAAAT